AGCAAAAACCAAACCATCACCACACTTAAGAACAAACTGGCACAGAAAATCACAAGACAGCAAAAAAAGCAAAAAGAAAACTAAATCAAAACAAAAACCCCACTACTCCTACTCAGACTTTTCAATTTCAATTCTCCAAGAATTCTTTCAATGACAAGCTTAGGAGGTAAAAATCTTTACTCAATATTAAAAAATCATGAACTGAGTAGAGATACTGGTTTTATGAATTCCCCCCACCATCTTCCTCGAGGCAATTTCTGCTTCCCCTGCCTACTTCTAACTGCCTAATCAATCTCCAGCGCTGCACATGCTTCAATGCTTACAGATCCTTCCACAAGGTGATTCTACTTATGAAAACAACATGAGTATTCTGCCTGAGCAGTTTTCTGTTACTTCAGCAAACTGAATCAGTCCACAGAAGGATCATGTGACTATCTGAACAAAGGAATATGCAGCCAGGACTACAGAAAAGGGGGAAGGACCTTGACATCTTCTCCTATATTTTTCGGGAAGTGGTTAAGTCAGCTTGGTGCCACTGATGAAACTGTACACTTATGTTAACAGCTACTAAAATCACAGTAGATGTAGCTTTGAGCAACCTGCCTAGTAGATGTCCCTGCCCATTGCAGGGTGTTGGAGCTAGATGGTCTTTAACATCCCTTCCAACTCAAACGCGATTATACATTTCTATGATTCTACATCTAAATATAGTTTAAAAGATTTACAGTAGGGAAGTATAGCTCAAGAAACAGAAATACTTGTAAATTGTTTCTAAAACATGACAAAAATAAAACCCTCAAAAAAATACTAACCATTGGAGGAATGAAGCAAACTAAGCAAAGTATCCAGTAAGTATCTAATGATGGTGCGTAACTGTTCTGTGGATGACATCTGAATCAACTCTTTTGGATCAGATTGCTCCTTCAGAGTTTTCCTGCTTGCACCTAAAGCTACTTTGAGCCTCTGAACAGCATGGTGAGCCAAGTTGAGTTGAAGCTGTAGCTGAATGCAATCCTGGTAAGCAGAAAATACTCTGCTATCTTCTTCTACTGCCTTGTCTGGCTTTCTCAAAAAGTACTGGGCATTGTTAGCACTATTGAGTGGTGGCAGGTCAATACTCTGCAGAAGAATTTCTAACCGATGACAGGCCAAATTGTACCTAAAGGGAAATATTCAAAGAACACAATTCAATACACATTAGCAAACAGCAATATATTTGACAGTCACCCTGCCAGAAGACAGCTTCTGGTCCATTTTGAATGCACTGTTAAAACAGACAGTGAAAAAAAATACAGTGTTGTCTTTGTTACTGCTACAGAGATATTCACTGCAACAACCCTACAACATAGGCAGAATTTTCTTTGGTCTGAAGAATATAATGGGAAGAAAAAAGATCTGTAACATTCCTATATCCCAGTGTTTTACATCAAAATAACTAGTAAATACACATTTTTTTCTTCTAACCTGCACTGTATGTCTTCTTGCAATGCAACCATCATTGCCAAATGTTGGTCAATTTCAGGTTGATTTGCAGCTTCACCTTCTCCTCTGAGGGGATCGTGCATTAGTTTCAGCTCATTTTCAAAGGGTAATATATAGGTATGGCCATAGTAAAATCCTAATGGGATTTTTGCTCTGGCATTTGTGCTGCCGTATCGACCAATGACAGTGATCTGAAAGAGAATGCAACTACCTTGTAACACAATTGTAACAAAACAGGCAAAATAAACACCAAGTCAAAAACACATCAAAAGGTTATAGCCAAGTAAAGTTTGGGCTGAAGAGAGCTTAAGTGAAAGTTCACATAGTAACAAATGTCAAGACTTTAGAAGATAGAGTATGTAGTCTATTTTTACCTTCATAAACCTGCAAACTGGGGGTGGCAACAAGTCATGTAAAATAAGTGAGTGTGTGCTAATGTCAGTAGCAACTACCAGTCGCCTCCCATCCACTTCTTCTCCTAAAGTCCAGATGTCAATTGACAAAGAAGCCAAATCTCCACAAGTGGGAATCAATACATCCGTCAGTAATATAGGTCTTCCAAAATCCAAGGTCACGAATCTTCTTGCTCCTAGAGGAAAAACACAGGATTGCCTAAAATACCAGTGTATGCTAACCAGTGAAGAGATGCTACTTCTCCAACCATAAAGCCATTGTTTATATATTGTTTAAAAGGTATATTTGTATATTTGAGGCTAAAAATACCTGCTCCATCTCAGAAACTCTCACTACAGCTTGCACACTTAGAGAAGAAAATTCTGGCTTCAACTTAATAAACTGTTCTTGCTTTTTATGCACTATTTCAGAACAGGTGCTTTGTCCAGAGAATCAACATATTCCCCAAGCCCCCAGGATTTTTCAACTGTCACCAAATGCTGGGTCTTAAACCTCTAGATATGACAGAATATAAACTGAGAAATATCTTTTCTCTGGAAAGCCAAGTGAGACTGTAGCTAAGCAACTTACATGTAAGGCCTCAGAAAATATTCCATTTCTTAATAGAAAATGTGTCAAAATAATTATTAGGAACTGTGGTTTTACCTGAGTGCATTCGCTCTATAATAATTGACTGATGAGGTGGAGGCTGAAGAAAGTGTGAAGCGTGAGATATTGCAAGAGCAAGACCAGATCCAAGTGGATTCTGAAGAGTGGAAAAACATCAGTAAAATTAACTGATTAAAATCTACGCATTTATAATGAGCTGTTCTCTACAAAAGACTGTAAGAAAACCTCTTGTGATTTAAATACGTACAATTTTGACAACACCTCACTACATTTAGATTTGAGCATGAGTCATCAAAATATATTCAAAGAATTAATAACTCCTTGTACAGTTAAGATAGCTCTAATTAAGAGAAACCATTTGAGGTACTATAACATATCTTGCTTCCTTAAGTCCTTTTCATATTGTCTAAATTTAGTGACATAGTTTTTACACCTCACCCAAATAAACAGGTATTTACTAGCACTCAAGTACAAATTAAGACCCTGCTAATGCTTACAGCATCTTGTTTCTCTAAGAAAAATAAATGAAAATAATTACCGTTCTAGACTTGCTTGTATTTTTGTTATGTGCTGCAAGGTTAACTGTTGGGGGGTCAATGACTGAACCAGGGAAAAGTTGAGCAAGCTCAGCACTAATAACAGCAGAAACTGCTTCATTAGGTGGAGTCAAAGGTGGAGTCATGAAGAGAGGAGTTGTTTTTGGTGTGGGTGGAATGACATCTGAAGGATGAATGAAGAACCCTGGGGCTGCTACTGGATTAGAAGGCACAGAGTTGTGAACAGGACCAACTGCTGATGCTGCTGCTGCCGCTGCTGCTGTTGTCTGATGCAATTTTGCTTCCAGTTTAGCTTTCTGTGGGGAAAATGAAAGCAGAGTATGTAGCAGATAATATTGCTTGTGAACACAGGAGTAGTACTGAGCCACTAACTCAACTTTTATTATACAACTAGATTTAATAAACCTAAACTCCTTTCAACATAGCCATGTTAGATCTCCAACTACAAGCTGAAAAATTAAACTCTATTTAATTTGACTCACTTGCTGAGGAACATGAGTAATCAACTGGAGTAATCAAAAAAATAATAAAACCCCTACCACTGATCAGCAAAGTAGAGCCAACACAGCCAAGCCTCATACTGACAATGGCTTTATGACTGGTACTTCGCTGTGTCAGCAACTGTCCTTTTCATTTCATTGGGCTTTTTCAAATTCAGACTGATATACTTACGCATTAAGACTTAGTTTTGATTACAAACTCCCAACCCACCCTCAACATACACAAAAAACAAGTCTGAAAGACCAAAGCAGCATGGGAGACACTCTCAGCACTTTGTTTAATAACAGTGATCCAGAGTGCAGAGTTGTTCCTTCCTCAAATACACTATGGAGAAAAAAAGAAAAAAAAAAAAGGCAACTAGCTCTGCAACTATTTTGTCAGCTTTCGAAGTTTAGAGACAGCACTAAAATATAGCCAAATAGCCTCCAACCTGTTGCTGAAGCTTCAAAAGCTGCTGCTGTTTCTCTTGCAGCACCTGGAGCTGTTGCTCGGCTGAGGCCATTGCATGAGAGAGAGACTGCAAAGCTACCTGGGCTGCTGAACTCAGTGCTGTCGAGGCTTCCCCAACCGTTCCAGAAGAGAGGCCACCAACTGCTGGGGTAACCCCAAAGGTACTCACTGGCATGAAACAAACAAAACAAAACAAAACATGTATGTAGAAATTGTAAAACATTTAATTCCTTATTAATTGTTCAGAGCAATGTAAAAACAAGAGAAATATCTCCTTTTATCCAGTTCTTGCTACAAAGTAATACCATCTTGATTTACAAAGTATATGGTTTATAGACTATGCACACTGGTCATACATGCAACACTTGGATTACAGAAAAGCCACCTCATGCTCTGGAATTCTTCCATCACATAAGGCTGTAAGGTAAAGATGCAAGCTTGTATGTTATAGTCTCTGACAGAAACAAATTGATTCAAATTAATAGATTTTTAATCCAGCTTGTTTGTTAAGCTCCAAGAAGTTTAACTTCACATATAGCAACTACTTAAAAAAACCCTGTACAAACAAAACATTTCAACACTTGCAAAACTACAGGCAATCTGTTTGTCAAACAGTGTTTTTATGTCCAATGAAAAATATATTGTGGAACAATGCTAAGTAGAAAAAAAAGAAAAATTGTATATACCAGTAAACGTACTTGCATCGTCCCTTTCTATTCTAGTTCCATCACTTGTTGAAACACAGGTAAAGTGCAGAGGTTCAACTTCCAGAAGTCCAGTAAGGGAAGTAAAACTACCTTCAGCAGCTGCACAGCTACCCATTTTCCCATTTCCTGAAAGAGAAACATGTATCTGCATAATCAGGCAATGTTTTCTTGATAGCAACATTTCAAGTCATGAAGTGTTGAAAGGGACAGCTAAACATAACCTACATATTTTATTAGTTAATGTTGTGGAACAAAAACCTTAACGTTATCACATCCACAATATAAGCGGAAGTGTATTTTAAAAAGGATAATGCTGCCAAATCTGAACAGAGTATATTAATAAGTCAAACTATCAAATGTGACAGCAGAAACGTAGTATAACCACCTTAATTCCAGAAATAAATTATACATGGATGCTCTATTCTTTCTACACTGAAAGCAAATTAGCTCGCAAAAATACATTGATGTTACTACAAAGGAAGAGGAAGAAACTGTGTCAGACCAACTAAGATCATACACCAATGTAGTATAAAAACTAGACTGTTAATCAATTTCCTGAAAAGTTCACACAGTTGTATGGAGGGAGACATGGGAAGAAGAAGGACAATAGTATACAAGAAAAGGAAAGGAGTCACTATGAAGGATGAATATGCTTGCTATAAAAGGAATTTCCTGACAGGTAAAAATTATCCAATTCTTTGGACATTCCATGGCCTAAAGATTCACTTACAAACTAACCTGAGAGGATAGATACAAATATGCTTTTAAGGTATTTTAATGCCTCTGAAGCAGAAAAAATACCCATCAAACATGTAATAGTTAAGTAGAGGAATGCCCTATAGCAGCTTCCCAACTTTGGGAAAATCCATTTAGGTTTCTCTACCTACGTAAGTGTTGCTAGTCTAAACGAATAATAACACATCTCAAGGAAGCTACTCCATAGAGGTGACAGATGCTTACTAGATGACTCTGACCCAGGGAATGAGAGCAGCCTTTCTGTTTTATCTCTACCCTTAGATATTCCACAGGGTAAGAAAATAACAGATTCCAGAAAGAGATTTTCTCCTTGCCCGAAGGCCACAGGAAATGTAGAAGATATCAGGAAGCACGAGACTATCCTGAACTTCAGCTTGGCTGCACAGCTATGAAACAGATGGAAAGTATAAAACCAAATCTTAACTGAGGGAAAACAGTATAACAGAGAGATTTATCAGCTCTTCCACAATAGATTACTGCTGAACATACGTACCTGACAGAACATCAGACAAATCAATTTCATCTGACTGTACTCCAATGCTGCTGTTGTATACATTTTTACAAGATGAGCCACATATTTCCAGATCAAACAGAACTGGATCAAAAGGTGAACTATATAATCCATATCTGCAAATGGAATAAGACAAACAGCACTATTCAAACAATAAGAATTCATATAAAATAATTTACAGAAAAAGGCCAAGTATTTCATCACCAGGATTTATTATATTCTAAACTATTCATTTGACATATCTTAGAAATTATCATTTACTTTTACTTCATTAAAGTAATTTCTTAGATGGCCTTTTCAAACAGTTTATCATGCTAAACAGGTAACTCTTTGTTACTAAATAGTTTTGAAGATGTAGTCCTGGAAACATGATGCACAATCACACTCAGACATGGAAACTAGAACTACAAGCCTTAGACAATTAGCCACAACAATACACATGCCTGCATATGGTAAATCAGACATTTGTCTGAAGTCAATAAAAGCACAGTACCATTCCAAAACAGCAAAAGAAATTCCACCTCAGCTTGTTCTTCCAGCTGAAGTAAAACTTTAAAAGCAAATGCTTCTAGGCATACCAATCAACACTTGCAATAAATATCTAACAGAAGAAAACTCGTAACATTTACTCTGACTGTGCTGCAGGGGAAAACATAGAACCATCACTCAGGTAAGAGGGTGGTCCCAAATCAATTAAGGTTTTATAAGCCAAGAAAAAGGAAAATCCAAAGTAGTATCAAAATCAGTGTTGGTTTGTTGTTGTTTTTTTTTTTTTGTGTACCAATACCTATTACCAGCAACTGACAAGAGGAAAAAATGGAAATCAGGCCAAAGTATTAACCAGGAAAGAAAGAACATGTGTGTAGGTACAAAAGTGAGAAACAAGACTCTGCACCTTGACTGCCAAGAGAGAGAAGAAATATGAAATATTTCCACAAACACACCAGCAGGGACAGTAAGTTCTTCTGCCTTTTCCCTCTGCCTCCAAGCAGTTTCTCTTTTCTTTAGCAGGTGAGGAAAGCCTCCAACAGGTAATGCTGAGAAGGCTGGAGTGTTTACATGTCTTTTTTGATCAGGTAGTCACAAATGTGTAAATGTCTACATGAATACAACACCAGCAGCAAGGCAGAACAGATTCCAGACTTCTCTGAATGTTAAAATGCTTCCACATTAGGTGGGCTCAAAGTTTTGTTGCCACAAAATACTATGACTGCAATTAGTCAGAAAATGATGAATGATGTTACAAAAGGGCAATAATTGCTACAGATCATATGAGAATTACAGTTCAATCCATTTCACATACATTTCCCAACCAAGTTACTTACAAGGTAGCAAATTTAAGATGACAACTTTATACTAAGAACAACACAAAAGAGACTTGGTTGCTCTCTACAAGCATGCATTGGACACGACCAGTGCATAGGGCACATCTGACAAGACTGACCTGTTAGCTGCCTGACCCTGTTTCATAAGCAAAGTGGCCACTAAAACACACAAAAATGCTCAGACAAAATTCAGTGGGGTACCTTCACAGCCTGTTTTACACCTCAGATTTACAAATTCAATAAATAGGTCAGCTCAACACTAACACAATACTTGCATGATTTAAATGAAGAGTTTGATTTATTAAGTAAGCTTTGTAGAGTCGAGTCAGAATTTGAATGTACAGCAGAGCGTTAAATACATTCTGTCCAATCCAGATTAGTTGGTTGGAACATGGTGCTAATAATGCAAGGTCAAGGGTTTGATCCCCCTATGGGCCTTTCATTTAAGAGCTGGACTTGATGATCCTTGCAGGTTCCTTCCAACTCAGACTAGTCTTTCTGTGATTTCAGAAAGCATAGCGCCTTTTACACATCCTTCAGCAGGAATGATCAGGTTCACAGTTTTAAGCTGCATTAGCAACACTTTTCTCCAAAGATTATAGAAGTTACATCAACGAAAAACCAAAGAATGAAACGTCATGTAAAAACCCATCACCCTATTCATCTGTGCAGTAATGAACACAAAGTATGCAAAATGCCTCTTCCACTTAACTCGTCAGAATATGCAACTGGAGTAATGTCTAAGATTTTGTGTATCACAATACAAAGAAGATAAGGACCAAAGAAAACAGTTCAAGGAAATGCTTTAAGAATGACTACACATCTGGAGAACACAATCCAGATACAAACAAACCCTGGACATCCAAAATTTGTTAAGAATGAAACAATCTGCTCTCCATTGTCAATGTGCCAAATTGGACAACACAAGCACTAAAAGGCTTTAGTGGCAGCAGGAGAGATTTCAGATTAGATGTGAGCAGGAGACAATTCAAGTGTTAATGATAAGAATAATTAAGCCGTGTAACACCTTACAATATTTAAAATATTTAAATTCCACCACTACTCCAATCGGGTACTTTTAAGAACGAGTTGGAAAAATTTTGTCAGATTTGTTAGAGACAAATCAACCTGCTTTGTTGTAAGACAGCCTAAAATACTGTCTGAAATCCCTTTTTTTGTTGTTCTTTGAACTGCAAATCATGTAACACACCCAACTGCCCTTATCCTTGCAAGTTTTACTTGCTTTATTGCAGCACATGATAGTAAAATGAGTACTACTCTCCCTGAAGACAACATGAATGTGAAGATCCTTTAACTAGACATCTGCTTTTATCTGACTACCAGATGTTAGACTATTGCACCTGGGACCAATAGAAAGAGGAAAACCACAATACCATAAACTCAGCAACACAAATGCACACAAATAGGATAAAATACAACTCAGGGAGAGGGAAGGGAAAAAGGGCAAAGCAATGGCTGCCTACTAATTTCTCTTAAAGAAACCCCCAAACTAAAATGACAGTATTCTCTTGATCTGTAGACATATGAAGGAAAGGCCAGTAAATTTTGCTTACATTAGTAAATGAAATCAAATAGTCAGTCCTTGCTAGAGAGCTATAATAATCAAATAAGGAATTAGACAGATGTGTCTGCTGCTTTTCTTTAGCTAACTATAGGGTTACCAAGTTAAAAGAGAATATAAATTTAGTTCCAAGGGGAAAAAAAAAATAAAAAAAAATTGGTAAAACACCATCTAGAAACATTCAGAAACCCTAAGCTTGAAGGATACCAAGAACAGAAGCTCACTTCAGAAATCTTTCCTTGACATGCAGACACTTGTGCTCACCACTAAGTGATCTGAAATATCACATGTACCCAATTCAAAAGTGGGCAACTGGAAAGGAAAAAAACCTTCCATTTCAGATATGCTAAGGTACTTGGAAGCAATCTTTATGAAGGAACAAGTCAATTCCCACAGAAAGGTGCCATTTCTCATGTCAAGTGTAATTTTCACATTTTTCTCCTGCATTGGATTTCTAAAGACAATTCAACATAAGAACACAAAACCTTTTTTCAGTTCAAAATTTCCAATCATCCAGGTACCAATTCTATTGCTGGGATAAGTTTTCTGATCAACTGCAAGGATTACAGACAGTGAAATAAATGAATAACTACGAAGAGGTATGCAGTAGACAGTATGATAAGGATCCAAGTATAACACCTGAGAATAAGTTTTTATCAAGTATTTTGGAATTATAGTCCTTTAAAAACAAACCAAACCAAACCAAAAAACCAAAAACCAACAAAAAAAAAAATCTAACATCCTCCCTGCCTCCAAAACTTTGCTTACTACATTTTCTACTACATTTACCATTTTATCTGAGGATTCTGAGCAAACCTTTTCTACCTTGATCTTACTTGACTTTGAGGAAACCTCTTGCACCCAAACCACAACTGAAAAAGATGTCAAAAAGCAGCATGTTCCCACTACCATAATGCAGCTTTGGAAACTGCTGCAAAACTGAACCATCAGAGATTTCCTTTAGGCATCATATAAATACAAATCTAAGTGGCAAATCAGTTCAATATGTAAAATATGCAACATCACAGTCTGAAATTACATTGATACATAATTTAAAGTAAGCACCTGCACTCCCAGTAAATTACTCCAGGTCTCTACACTTAGACACCTGTTCTTTAGTAGAAATACATCAACTGTATGGTCAGCCTACAGAGAAACTACAGTTTTGTAGAACTGAAACTATTTGGTATATTTGATTCCCTCCAATACTCAAAATAGGACATGCTTTGTTAGTCCTTACACTAAAAATTATAAATATTAACTTAAGGATTGCACAGACATCAAACATTACATGCATATTTGCTGATATAAAATGTAAGATAACAATTAAACTCATCTTTAATTTTGCACAAGTTAAAACTGTTTTCCAGAGCTGTAGCAAATTAATCCTTGCTCAAACAAATATGGCAAAATGTATCTTTTTTAAAAACACCCAACCTTTTTCAGAACACCAAAGGATGGCATTACACATTCTTATGTTTGTTTTTATCAGGTTTACATCATCCACCTTTCTTAGTACCTTGTTTGAAGCAACGCTTCCATTGGTGTTAGGCGATCCTGCAGCTGTCGGGACACAGCAGTTAGCAACGATGCACAAGCTGTACTACATCCCGCCAAATCTTCATCCTTTACATAATTCAGCAATACAAAATACCAGTATACAGATCCTGCATTTAAAAAAAAAATTCAGGTGAAACATATGAATTTTTCACTGAAAAAGAATACTCTGAAGGATAATTAATGGAAGGGATAAATGAAATATCTAATGGTTACTGAATACAGACTAGAAAGTATTCTACCCCTTCTCTTTTTTGAGAGACTTCAATTTAGAATCATTCTGTAATCATTAGTTTCCACGAGTACTTCCAATTCTCTTATCAACTTAACACATAACTGAAGGCAAAAAGGTTCCCAAGAGACAGCTTTGCACACTTCCTTCATTGCTTCTGCCCACAACAATCAAAATCCTCTTGATCTAATAAGGTGCTAGGCTAGAGGTTCCAATCCTATCAGAGCCAAGCCCTACTCTAGATTCAACTCTTTTTCTGCTTTTATCCTCTGGTTTTTGATTGCTGTCTCCTTAATCTGTATTTGCTGGAGTCACTGTTTACTTACAAATCAGTTCTGTGAGCACACTGCAGTAGTACTGCATGGAAACAAATCTCAGCTTCCTCCTTCTTTTTCCCTCCCCATGTATTCCAAACCCTTTATAGCAGTGCGTTATGTGTTTCTACCTGGGTGGTAGCACAACAAGCCTTTTGGAATGCAAACTAATTTTCCTGCAAAACCCCTTGGTGATGCCAAGCTAGAAGTAATTTAACAATGTCCTAGTGTGAAAAGCAGGCCTTGCCGCCCCAAATATGTGGGTAAAGTCATCTTCCCACCCTATCTGGCACTCAAGAAGCTTCAACAAGGTGCTAAGACACCATTACTCTGCAATGTAGACAAGGAAGGTAATGAACTTGGTTAATTTCCTTTAGGTGCAGAAGAAACAAAAGTGGATTGCTAGTAGGACATCATTTGGATAGTCAGGCTTCCTGGAATAAATCTTCTACTTTTAAAAAATAACAGACAATTTTGACTGTCACTTATGTCAACAGAATCTGTTGTTGCTGAACACCTTCAAAAATTCTTGCAAAACTTACTTAAGCTCTTCCAGAAATGTCAGATTTGGCACTTTGGTTTAAGCAAGCTTGTTTGCTTAAAATTCCACTATCTGCAAATGCCTCCTTCATACTTGGATACCATCTGACCATACCACTCCAAGAAGCATTTTGTACTAACCGAACAATTACCTAATTCTTATCTCACAAGAGAGTCCAACAAAACATGACAAACAGCAAATGTACCGTGTCTATTTACAACAACAAACACTGCATACGTACCACCTGTCGCAGCAGCAGGCAAAAGAGGCATATTGTCAAGCAAGGCTTTTAGAAGAACTGATCCAAATCCCTGCTGACTCGGGTCACACCTGCCATTGCTACAAAGAAACACATAGACACTTTAAGATTTACTTAAGAAAGAACCAAGGATGACATCTCCTCCAGAAGATGAAGCTGAAAGACTGATGTTCTTTGCGGTCATACCCTAAACACATTCTTCCTGAACAGATCTTCCAGATCTTGTTGCTTTATGAATTCAATGTCCATCAATAACAAACATGCTTGTACATTTCAGACTGCATGCAAATCCCCCAAATACATTTAAAACAGAAATATATAAATAAAAATAAATGTAAATAATTAACACTGACCTGATGCACAGTGCAAGAAATCGTGCACATTTGTGAGCTATGCTCCGCCCAGCTTCAAAGAAGCAAACACGGATAATATCAGAGACACATTTACGCGTTTTAGAAAGCAAACTGTCATTTCCTTCCTTTGAGCTGTAAAAACAAGTTGCATACTTTAGAAAATCATATAAAACTTTTTTTTTTTTAAGTGAACTGATACTGAGGAAGAGCCGTGATAATCTGAACACAATTCCTCCCTTACCTGCCAGGTCCGTTTGAATACACTCCGGCCAGCCAACAAAGCGTGTCAAGTACAAGACTCTGAGAGTGTTCTGTACTCAGACCATCATCTGTCTTCTTGCAAAGAGTGGTGAGTAACTTCTCATGGAACTCTGAAAACTGTAACATGGCACACCGTTGAACTCTAGGGAGGAGGGGAAGGAGATAAAAACCAGAATTATCCAATATGGCCATTCTCCCATTAAAGTGTCCCTCCAGCTTTGTATCCTGTCATAAGAGCAGCAAAACAGAGAATGCTAGATAAGCGTAAAACCAGTACACAAGCATATATAATACCTTCCATGCACACATTCCCAATCTTCCTATTTTCTGCTCGTAGAACTTCCTATTTTACTATATACCTAGTAATCTGTGAATTTTTTCCTCCTATTAACTTGTCTAGCAACTTCTAAACGTAAACAAACTTTCACCATCCACAACACTCTTTAGCAAACATTTGCACATACCTCTTTGCGGCCTCTTTGACCTCTTTATGCCCACTGCAGTCAGTGCCACCATTGTAGGGTGGCAGCTGGTAATACACTTTAAATACTATATTCTTTGCATTGAGGTCTGCAGTACCAATCCAGAGACTTTAACCACTTCTTTGAGTAACAATTTGTTAGTTATAATTGATTCTAAATTTTTCAACAAATAATATAATCTCTGCTCTAAGAAACCAGACAATGTGGAAATAGAAAGGGAAGATGCTTCCTTTAAAAAAAATCTGTCCAGATAATTTATCTACTTTACCCAGAAAACTTATTTGCTTTTTCAAGTCAGGCAAAATAATCACTCAACATATAATTTCCTGCACAATGTTTTTCTACCACAATTTGCACAGAACAGTGCCCTCTAACTCATAATTTATAGGATTTTCCAAACAAAATAAGCTTATGAAATGACAACTTGAAACAGTGGCCTGACCCAAGCTATTTTGAGGACTAAACTTTTTATGATAAGTGTAACTAAAGCTAATATTTCTTCAGATTAAAAAACACCTACTAACCTTTCCTTTGAAATTGAAGTTTTTTTAAATCTTCGAATTGTTACAGAGACTTCTTGAAGTAAGTCACAGCCTCGCAGATTATCTGATTTTCTTGAAGAATTAGTGCCTTCAATTTTGCTGGATGGCTTTTCCTGATTTTTTTTGGAAAAAAATAACATTTAAAAATCACATTGATTTTGATTGATTTTTATACCTTGTTCAGTGAAATGCAAATCGTTCAGTAAAATCTCTCAGCTTGAGCATTGTACTAAAATAAACTAATTTTGTTCACTAATTGCTTTAATATAGAACAACAAATTTAATAATGTTCTGTAATCTATAACGTCCTAACCATTCCAATAACATCCTCAAGATGTGTCATATCATCCAATCTTAGAACTACAATGATCAAGAGTAAAATACACACAAACACACAAATCTTCGTAGGAGGGGGAGGCATATCAGCAACTGAAAATACTCAGGGAAACAGAAGTTTCAAAAACAAGCGCTCAGAATGTGAAAGTACAGAACAGACCTTTTCAACTAAATATGCACAAAACAAACAACTTAAGAGATGTTGAACTCTAATTCTTGAGGGTGTCAACACAGTGTCATGTTTACAAAGCAATTTTTAATGGATCTTAATTCTCCTAACAGCTGTTTGGTGTTCAGATCACATAAATCACACCAAGTCTACAACTAACACACGTCTTCCTTGGCTTGTCATTACCTTGCCTGCTGCAACTTTTGCCAACAACGAAGCAAGTGAATGGCCCTTGTTAGTCTGAGGTTTTAGAGGTGGTATTCTAACAACAGGTCTAATGCCACCATTGCAGATTTCTTCTGTTCCTCTGTCATTTACTGCTTTAACATGAATTAAAAATGAACGATACTTGCCACCAGCCATGCCTAAAAGTGGGGGGAAAAAAAGGGAGGGAGGGAGAATTTGCATAATAAGGCAAGTTGTAAACAGATTTCAACTTCACAGATATAGTGCACAAGCAGAGCTCAACCATATTAATTACAGTACTTGATCATCAGTTTGAAACTGTTACACAGCAAAATTTGTCAATGTGAAAATAAATAAACCTAAGTCTGACTACAGAAGTATGAGATGCACTTTAGTCATACATACTTCATGCAAATAGCATAATAAACTGGTTTACCTTTAACAAGCTTTGGACTTGTTAGTGTCAACATTCCAGCATGTCCTGATAGATCAAGTCCAGTAGCCAGCCATACTGGACCACAAAGTATATCTTCCTTGTGTTCCTCCAGAAATGGACACAATCTAAGACCTTAAAAAAACATGAGTAACACGGATATGAATTAGCCATAATTGTCACAAAATCTGATCATTTGCATGGATTAAAAATACACCATGTCAAACTCTGATCACTAAATACACATAACTCTAAATCAAAAATTACTTGAGGTTCATTTTTAGACATTTTCCAGTGAAATCAATAAAGGTAAACAACAGTTTTCAAACCATTTTCAGCTGTATAATGTGGATAATACATATGTTGACCAGCTTATCAAAGCCAGAAAATATACAACTGATGAAATAATGAACCAATATTACAGATCCACATATTACTTGGACTTTATTGAAGCAGGACAGAACTGTTTAAAACAAAACATAATGAATAATTAAATTTAAAACAAGAAGACTGATTTGTTTCTCCTGTGGTATATTCAAACTATTGAAATCATCATTCACTCATCTCTGCTGCTCCTTTCTCAGCATGAAACATCTTTCAGCATTTTTATCACCCCTTTGATTCCTCCCCTCATCCTTTGCAACACCTTTCTTGGAGCCATAGAATCACAGAATGGTTTGGGTTGGAAAGGATCTTTCTAGTCATGCTCTAGGACAAACCTGATAACGTGAGTGAAAAGAAAGTCTAAAGTAAGACTGTTAAAAAGATAAGAAAAAGAATCCAGAATACTGAATCACTACAACTGACAATTTTTAAGTCTGCAGCTCTCCTCACTCAGACCCACTCTTATTGCCTTTCACAGTCTGAGATCTTGTGGAAAAGTGCTGGTTAACAAAAAGCTATAAAAACAGGCACAGTCAGTGTGATGTGACTCAAAGTCAACAGGACTAGTTATGAATTCTTTAGCCATTCTTTATTTTGTTTATGGCAGCAATCTCTGCAAAAGCCAGGTATGCAAAGAAAAATTATACTAAACCTAGCTAAAGAAACAAAGTAAAATACTGCTGGAACAGTGTAAGAATTTTAGTTAGGAAGGTGCCCTATCAATCTACTTTATTTCTAAATTCAAATAAATATTAATCTGCTTTTAAGCAACAAACCTCTTCAGTAGTTTGGGATTTTTTTGGTGTGTTTGTGTTAAACTTTCAACTCATTAAGCAAACAGACCAGTGAGAGAAACAACTTTGAAGAGAGATACGAAATTAGTATATTTTAAATGACTGAGAATTCTTTGCAGATGAATTCCAGTGTATCATTTAAAAAAGAAAAAAAAGATCATATTTTAAACAAAATATAACAAGATAAAGAAAACTTACATTGTGGTTCCTCTACATCCATATACTGCATTTCTTCATTGAATTCCACCAGTCCTGGTTTTCCATTTCTCTCCACCTCAATATTAAGAGCTGGAGACAAAGGAAATGTGATCTGTCTATCTACTGCTGCTTCTGGAAATAAAAATATTAGCAAGATTTCAAACATTGCTCAAGGTTCAGGAAAAACACAAGCAATAGTTCCCATAGCAAAATTATTGGCTTTCTGCCCACAACACTATTTCTAATACAAACCCACAAAAATAAAAAGGCACATTTTTCATATTAGGATTGAACTGAAGTTGCAGCAAATGGTTAAAAAAAATACTTCTGAATGAGCTCTAAAGAGCCTGTTTTGCTTTAACACTGTCCAAATTCTTTTCCCCTAATAATCAACTGCAGATTACTCCTAAGCAATTAGATTCCAATATTGAAAGTTTGATAAACTTTAAATACTTTAAACTTAAAATAATTGGATTGCTCCCACTGAACATTATTTTGATAATACTTAAATACAGCCTTTTTTTCAATTAATGGATCACATGAATCATAGATGAAGAAGACATGCAAGCAAATTAACAAGAAACATATACAGTGAAATAACTGCCACACCAGAACCACTAATTCCAAACTGGAGGAATTATGCCTCTGGCCTTCCCATTACTACACACTGTATATTTAACTCTTTCCAGGGTTCCTGTCGTACAAAAAAATTACTGAATAAACTCTCCCCTGTACATCTTCCCTAGGTCTCATTATCTTAAAATTTCAGTTCCTTTCTCCCCCTATGGAAGGAGAGAAGGGAATGGGGGGAGTTAATTGAATTTCAGTCTGAGGTTTTTATAAATTTTCAAGAGCCATCAAACAATCTTGAATATGACTTCTCTCTAGGATTAGAACATTTTGGTTAAGATCCATCACAGATATAAATTATCTAGGTTTGTCTTCCCTTATAATGAAACCATTAGTGCCCTATTACTTTATTCAATAGTGCATATTAAAAAGGCAAATGTCACTAAGGTCCTTTTCCAAAATTCAAAAAATTGAAAAAGGGGAGGAAACAACTGCAATGCAGTCACACTTTGGGAACATGTTGGTTAGTTGTGCCTCCTCAATCCTACTGAATAAAAAAGAAAAAAGACTTTGCCAAGGCTGCCTTGCAGGCGCTCTCACATTCCCCAGTCCTTTCCAGACTAACTGACCCCCGTTCCATGCTTTTTCCACCCTATGTATAAGAGAAAAAAACAAATTCCAGTACATGTAAGGAAGTGAAATATCATTTTCTGGAAGAGCTCTGTGCAGAAAAGCATTCACAGAGAGCTCTAGCAATCTAGTTCACAGCAAAATCAAATGTCTCCAAAGAATTACCAACTTATGAAACTGTTTGCTCAGAAATATTTAAAACTGAAGCATTAAGGAAAAGAGTTTAGCTTTTCTTCTACTGTTTTGTTCCACACATGAATATTTTCAGACTAATTCTGACATCCAGATCTGCAAATGGACTGAATTCAGGCTGAAAACAAAGCGGGTTCCATTCAGAAGAGCAATATGGCCTATCTATCCAGTCTTTTAATTTGACAGAACAAATTTCTGCTACATGTTAAAATTAAGGTTTTACTTCAAGCATTAAAAAAAATGAAAAAACTGAAAGAACACCTGTTGTCTGCTGTCCTGCAGTTAAAGCTAGCACTTCTGCTAAATCTAAACCATCTTGTATCCTAAAAGAATTGACTTTTCACAAAGAATATTACTATGCTACAATATTTTGTTCTTGGATAACAACCAGTATTTAAAGGAAGCACATCCAGGACACATTTTTTTGTTGTTAAACACTGGGGGATGTTACAGGACGGGAAGTTGTATGGAAGCATGTGCATAATCTTTGGTATGTCTGCATTCATTTTTGAAATTTACAGCACTGTTACCCTTGTTTAACTGGGATGCTCTTACTTAGCAATAAAAAATTAGGAAAAAGGAAAAAAAAAAAGGGCTTTTATGATCATGCTTGCTGTTCTCCCCAACACATTTTATATCCAGCAACCAATTTAATAACATCTGACAGCAAGATTTCTCTGAAGTACTCAGTTCCGAGAAGCTTTTGGAAAAGATGTGGCCAGACAAAGACAACCAATTAATGCCTCAATAAGAGGGGGTGCTGCATGTAATATCTTCCTCTCCTAGCAGACAGGGCAGCAGGATACGCAATGAACACTCTTACCACAGAAAAATCCCAATGGAGGCACAAACTCTTCCACATCAAAGAACTGACTTTTCAATTACACTACCCCCTCATAGGTTCCCTGGGAGCTAGTAAGATGCACAGTCCAGTTAGGAGTCTTCCCAAGGTAAGAGTGTTCCTAACTTTGGTCTCCTCTGTCAAAGCTGCAAGGAACAAAAGGTGAAATCATACTGCAACTTTCACAGAGCTTAGTTAATGAGCCAAAGGATGAGAGAATTCCCAAGGAAGCCAGTTTTTTTCTGCTGCCACCAAGAAAAGCCTTGTCATTTTCTCACTGGCAAATAATTTCCTTCTGTGATTTGGAATGATTTATTGTAATTTTTTTTTACATACCAAGACCTTAGAAGAGCACCACTTGTTTTATCAGTCAATCTCTAAGATGATTTACAACTGACAGTGTATTTTTTTAATGACTGTAGGATTCAAGCAGTACCGAATAATTGAGTTCAATCTTTTTGAGCTATGTGCTTTTATTTGTATAAATGTCAGGATTTTGAAACATTTTGTTTCCATGTTTACATTCAAACATGGTAAGTGAAAACAGCCCATGATGCTAAGAAATACAGTAAAATGGAAATAAGTAAAACTGGAATACTTACACTATTTCAAGCAATTTTTATCAAAGAGAATAGTGAGTTTAAGAAAAGAAATAATGCTCTGAAAGTTAACTTAAGCTATTTCTTACCATTGACTTTCCCTAAGCCTGGAGCTTTATTTTTAAGTAAAGTCACTTGAATCTGGGGAATGCTGGTGATGTTTGAATTCAAAACAAATTTGAAGTCCACATGTCCAACCATACAGGCTTTGGGTAGAACCAGTTCAAAGACATGCTCATCCCAGCTGTTGCTGTTGGGAAAAAAAGAAGACAAAGACCCAGTGTTAAGAGATAATTCAGAACAAACAGGAAGCATCACACAGTGCATTTTCCATCTATGCACAGTGTCTTCAACAAGAAGAAAAATGTACTTTGCACTAGTTGACATCCACATGAATTTCTGAAGTAGTGTCTTTTCAAGTTAACCATATTAATTTTGTGAAAATGATGTTAAAAAGCCAATCAATAAGAAAGGGTGAAACAATGTTCGGGTAAAATCAGTGTAAAGATTCTCTGTTACCTTCATTGCAGCACCCTTTTCATACTACTATAAATACCAGTTTCCATGGTTTCCATGAAAAAAAAGTATGAGAAAAAAGCCTCCAAACACAACATTAAAAAAGTGAAGTGTACTACCAATCAGTGAAGTGTATGAAAGCACAATCCTAAGTACCTACCTTGCAATCTCTTTTAAGCTGCCCTTGATGTTGTTTAACACTTGCCAATGTCATTGTCCAATAGTACGAAAGCCACATCCAGAGACTCAAAACACTAGTTTCAAATTATTTTAAAAACACATTTGATAATTCATACAGGATGAAAAGTGCTTCTTACCAGATGCACTGTGCAAAACGGGCACAGCTTTCTTTTAGTAAGTCACATTTTTGTTTTGAAGACAAGTTTGGTTTACACTGAAAGTGTAAACTTGAGATAATAAGTACCCCTCAATAATCCATTCCATAGTTTTACACACTAAGGTTCAAAGAGTAATTAAAATAAAACTAACCACCTGTCAATTGTTCTGTTTGCATACATTTTTTAAAATACTGAACTTCCCGATCCTCTCAATTTAGCAATAAATATTTTTTAAACGTAACCGATAGACTATGCTTATTCAGTGGTATAACTGAGAACACTAAGAAACTGAGTTTGCTGCTATAAACATTTTTGAGATATCTTTCTAACATCTCAATCACAAAAGAGTATTTTAAATCAAATAATATGCTCTACATTGAGTATTATACAGAAAACCATTTGAAAATAGAGTAAGGAATGGTGTAACTGTATTTAATTCTTTACAATAATATCCCTGAAGGCCAGATCTCCCTCAGGCACATATAATACACTTAAAAGAGATTTCACGTAAAAGTAATGAAATGGCATGCCAGCTTTCCAGAGCAAGCAACACAGAAAAGCAGTGATTTTGGGAGGAAAGATGAACAGAAGGCAGCTTGTGGTTATGATTTAAGAAGCAACAGTGAAGAATGTTCAGTTAACTGTACAATAACACAGGTAAACAAAATAAAATGAAAATTTATCCTATGGCTCTGGGGAAAAAAAACCCTAAAACCTCTGTAAGCAACTGTAACAATAAATACTTAGAATCACTAGTGCCTTTCCTATGGCTTGGAGAATATATACCCCAGTGCAAAACAGGGAGAGATTTGGGGGTGGTTTTTGATGTCATGCAAAGCATGGACTAAATGAGACATTCAAAGGAGCCAGACTTCTGAAAGACTAAGTAGTATTCTGCTCATCCAATTTTAGTTAAAGATCTAGTACAAACCCAGAAATGAATAATAAACCACTTTGTCTGCAGTAGTCTTTTGTAGTGTGTATTGCATAGTGAATTACAACTGTTATTTGTCTGCTCCAGAAATGTATTTCTGACAGAACTGAGCAGCAGATGCTCAATAGGCATGTATGGAATAACGAACCTCCATGAACATCTCCCACTAATCCAACAGTAAAGAGATCTTCTTATACCTATGGCAATAAACTTCACAATCTAATTCTGTGATTAGTTAAAAAAATACCCTTTACAGATTTTTTTAATTTCCTGTAAGTCTAAGTGCATCCTGTTTATTCATGTGCAAAGTTTCAAAGTAGTAAAAAAAAAAAATTACTCCTTACTATTTTCCTTAATATTTTAGTATATCCACAATAAGTATCACTTTTCTATGACAATCTCATGCAAGGTCTTTTAGGAACTCTTCTCACCTCTGACACCCTTCTACATCTATAGCATCTTCCTAAAGAAGAACATACAATCCATACTGTATTCTAAATGCCAATATACCATCATTCTCCCAGCTACAAAATATTTTCCAACACACTTATTCATTCCTTTTCTAAAACGTCTCATCATCTGCTCTTCCACTACAATTCAACTTTGAACTGCAGAGCCACTTTCAGAGTTTAAACACTGGACAGAACATCAGTACACAGCTCTTTCTTCTTTCACATATTTTCAAATATGCCTCCATAAAATGAATACATAAAATACATCCTTACATAAATCTGAGAAAAAGCCAGGAAACTCAGACGTTACTGTTTTATCCATGCACATTAGGAATTCATGTATCTCTTTTAAAAGAATTAACCCCATTCAACATTTCAGTTGAATACCACTGAGGGAACAGTACTGATATTTAGATAATTCACAAGGTAAACCACGCTCTGCTTTTCTGTTTTCTTTGTTACACAGTCTTTTATAAAAAACGAAGTAGGATTGAAAGAGCAGGAGTACAATATAATGCCATTCCCTAAAACACATTTACAGGATTATCTCTTTCTATCTGTTTGAGAAACAAAAGAATCACCATATCAAATTGCATTACTCATCCATCTAACCCTGTAATCCCACATCTTGATAGATATCAGCATGAGGCACTCAAAGAGGAGATAAAAGGAACCTCATATTAACGACCAACAAAATAATCCAGAAATCAAAAAGTTTCTTCCCAGATAACTTTTAATTAAGAGCTAACATTGCTTTCAGTCTTAAGCTTCTACCCTAAGAACAAAGGAACTCTAATAATTTTCATTGTGAGTCATTTAGCAGCTGTCAAAGATTTCCAGTACTAACCCAAAACTTTTAACTTTACCTCTTTACAACCTTGGTTTACTTTGCAGCAGGCATAGTTCTTTTCCTTTAATGAAACAATATTCATAAGCCAATTTTCCACTTATCACCTTCCAATTAACAGCAATTACCTTCACTGTCTGCTTCCTTCTATCTTCATATTGGTAGCCTTTTACTTTTCAACTGCTGCTGAGCACACTTGGATAATCAATTGTTTTAACTAGAAGTTATTTTCCAAAGAACCATCTCCTTTCCACTTGTTCCATACAGAATATTTTACTTACACAAAGCTAAACCACAAGATAGATAAAGGTTTTAAAACCTATAATGCACTGCAAGTTTTTAACCACAGCTTATGAATATTTATTTAAAGAAAGTTCAGTTACTGTTAGGTGTCAGCCCTGAAAACGCCTGCAACTATTACCTGTTTTCCCACCTGGAATACTTCATTATCAGATGCCAGCTTTCACTTGTTTCCACAACACGCTTTTTCTGCCCCATGTATGATCTCTAGCTCCCTTTGGTCATTTCATTCTTTCCACTGTATGGCCTTTCCAAATCTTACATATCAGTGGAACAGATGTGTAACAGCTTGACCTAAAAGATCTTTGTAGTGTCTTAAGCACATCCCTTAATAAAACACACAATAAAACTTATATCTATGTTTTGTTTCTCCACTGTGCAAAGCTACTTCCGGTAGGTTTTAAGCAACTCTTCAAAGGAGACTGCAACACTGCTGTACTTGCATTTAGGATCCCAGAGGAGTTCCAAATTCTCACATTGTGTGTTAGAAACTAAGTACTACTACATATACCATGTTGGTGCAGTTCATTTCAATGAAAATACCACACTAGTATTGTAGTTGTAGCACAACTAGGGCTCTGTAGTGGCTTAAGTAAATGTCTCACATATAAAGATTTAACTTCACAAGAACAGACATAAATCTAGATTCTATCTTCATATTTTAAAATAAATTACAACAATACAATTTCATTTAGGACAACTAATTAGTCATACTGGCACCATTTTCTGATTAAAAAAATATACTAAGAACATGTATATGCATAAGAAGGGTGAATCAGACTTTTACAGAATATATCAAGAATACCTGTAACTCTGGCAAGTGTGCTTGTCTAATTATACAATGAAATGGCCATATTTGGCAAATTAAAATACCCCAATTCAAAACCTGATGTTTCAATTTGTTTTAAGGTCCACTAAAACAACTCTGGCAATCTCATAAAGACCTGTAATGCAAACTACCAAGTAGGGATTATCATCTTTAAAATTACACGTTCTTAAACTTGCACACTAGTTAAAAAAAATTAAATTGCATGAAATTTGTGACCGTACAGCTATACAAACTAGTTGAGCAATGCACACAATTCCTTCTGGGCTGTCACCCTCCTTACCTGTCTGTCTGTAGCTTCCAGGTTCGAGTGTGCTGAGCTGCATCCCCGTGGTGCTGCTGGTGCAGATGCTGAGGGTGCCGCCTTTGCTGCTGCTCTTGCTGGACTTCTACCCAACAGGGAGGGACAGTGGCTGAAAACCGTGGTGTCAAGGTCTCAAAACGGGTCAGTTCCACCAGGGATGTCAGTGTTTCAAGGGAAAATGGCTGGTCCACCAAAAGATCAACTCCTGAATAATTACAGAACATACAGGAATTACTACGTAGATTTCTTTTTTTTTTCCCAAGAACATCCTATGAACAGTTTGAAATATATCCAAACTGCCAGAGATACAAATAACTACATGTTATATGAAGGTTTTTCAGTTAAAAAATAATAATAATAAAAAACACACACAAAAAAGCATCACCCTAAACAAATAAAAACACCCAAACAAAGCAACCAAAAAACCCTAGCCTTGAAGCCAGTATCCTTTGAAGGCAGTTCATTTGGCATAAATTTTCTAAGTACTGAAAGCTCTGAGCATGTTGTCTGGGATTTAACCAGAATCATCAGCCATAAGTAATTAGCCAGCTACACTTTGAAGATGTAAAGCTGATTAAACATTTTTTTTTTAATATCTGTATTGACTCAGATAAAAAAAAGTTTTATATTTCATGAAAATAGACATACAGAATTACTACGTAATTGTGACATTTTTATCACTGTTTAAAACATCACTTTGGTACCTGTTTATCAATACAGATTTGTTTTATGGTGAATTACTAGAATGTTGTGAAAGGTTCCCAATTTAGCTTAAAAGAGGGGTAAGTGAAAAACAAACATGCTTTAGGTGATGCACTTAAAGTAAATGTAATGCACTGGGCCTAGACAATTATACTGTCTTCTTGTCTTCACATTCAAGCCTTGTACTGAGGAAACAAGGATATTAATTGAAGTACTGAAAACTGAAATATCGCAGGAAGCCAAACACCTAAAGAAACCACAAAGAAACTCCAAAAATAATCAGATTTTCTGACAAAGACCAAAAAACCACCCCCCAAAACCCCAAACAAACAAAAAACCCAGCCAAACAAAAACCCCCAAAATCATAAAACAAACAAACAAAAAAAACCCAAGAAAAAATAAAAAAGCCACCACCACCACAACAACAAAAAACAAACAAGGGAAAATAAGATATGCACAATATAAATTTTCTTGTATTTTGAGCATTTTCTCTTAAAAATGCATTTTTGAGAAAATCTCTTACTTCTAAAGAAATTATATTTTTCAAAAGGAGAAAGTTTGCTACCCGACTACTACTTTCACCACCCTGGCTGGGGGGATAATACACAAATACCACCCTCCCAGTGAAATCTGAACCTAGAGACTGTCTTGTAAAGCAAGCCAGGTTGAGTTCCAGGTGAGACATCCAGAGGCAAGTAAAAAATTCACTCTCATTGCAACTACAATAATTTCTAATCATCAGTCTAGGAGGCAGGAAAATGCTGAAGAAATTAGAAGTGCTTTAGAAATTGAATTTCAATAATAGGGCAGAGACTTGCATTTTTTTAACTGCCAAATGTGAACCTCATTAGCTGGATGACACTGCAATGAGAAGTGAGATCATTGCTTAAACTGTACAACAATTCTATCTTTGACTAGACTGGATTTTTCCTGCTTCATTCTCCTTCCCTCTCCAAAAGAAACAAATACAAATTCAAAGTATTCCAAGCAACCACATACATGTGGTATCAACCCCTAAAATTGAAAAATGAACGACTTAACTTTCCCGTGTTGCCAAGTATACTTGACTTCTTTTGAAAAATTATAAGACTTTTATTATATTCTAATAGAATGTTACGGCAAGCTGGTTGTAACAGCAAACTTGAAAACAGATTTTAAACTGCTCAGGAAAACCAATAATCTTTTTCAATTCACTTAAAAAAAAAAGCATTATTTTAGGTCATTTCACCACAAAAAACTCTCTGCTCCTTAAAAGGAAATAGTAATCTAAAATTAGTACATGGTTAACTTATTTCCTTCTAAAACAATACAATTTAAAATGCATCCAAGTTGTAAATTCAGGCTAGAATATAAAATTTAACAAATGCATTCTAGAATGCCAATAACAGAGAAAAATAAACACACAAACAAAGCCCACAATATATAGGAACACCATATGGGCAAAAGCTTCTGCTTGTTGCAGGAGTTCATTTCCTCAAAGAGAAACCCAGAAACCTCTGTTGAGCTATGTCTCTGTCTGAATAACATGTTAGGACAAAAGTGGAAGAAAATGTTTTTTTCTGCTGTATAGTATTTAAGACTAAAAGGGAATTAACACTGATGTTATAAATGTTGGGGACAAAGGCTCGTCATGATTCATACAGACAATGACTCAGAAGATGTTGGCACAGTCCCGGCAATCATTCACATATATGCTGAGAATCTTGTATTATTGACTTTAGTATCCTTAACCTGGACAGTTCAGCTAAGAGCTCTGCAAACACCATTTGGTTTCCACAATTCCCGCCCAGTCCCCTCATTTAAGCACTGGTTTCCTATGACTATTAAGCTTCTTGCACAGCTTTTAGTGGCTCAGTTTGATGGTACAGCAAAATAGTTCTCAATTTATCTGATCATTACTCTTTGGAAAGCATTACAGACCAAGATCGAGCAATACTACACTGTCTGAATTATACGACTATTTAAAGGAGGACCTGCAGCTCGTGGACAATCTAAAGCTACAGTTACTTTGAAATCTATGCATAAATAAATCAATTTCTTGTTCCAATAAGCCATATTCAAGCCTATGCTGAAGGCTGGATGAGAAAGAGATAAAAAAGGGAAAAAAAATCCCCTTTACAGTACTGGCAGAATTTAAACAGTAATAATCATCTATTTGATTCATTAGGATAGTCAAAGTTACCACTTGATTGGAAGTCACTGAAATCTGCTAATAAGCTACTGTACAGGGAATGCATCCATGGAAGCACATGTCTGTCCTTGATATTTATATTCTCTTTTTTGCTTTATTCACCATTAGCAAAAGAAGGGTGCAGAAGAAAGTCACAGACCTTTTTTGCTCATATACATACAACAGTTTATTTCCTAGAGATTTTCAAACTTCAGGAGTGGCTTCTTTGGTGAAAACGGGGAGTAACTGGAGAAATTCAGTCCTCAAAGCAACTGCTGTAATGCTGCTTATAAGAAATCTCATGACAAAAAGCATCTTTTCCTTCCCTCTTTTGATCGACTCTTGCAGAATAAAATTGGGATCGCACAAACACAGCATAACACAACTAAAAGTGTTAGAAGGTTGACAGCGAGCAGGGGTTTTGGGAGAAAGACAGCAAGTAGCCCGCTGACAACAAAGATGCCATGATCCAAAATGGTCCCTGTACTGCCAGTCAGTCCTCTCCCAGCTTTTTTTGTCCTCTGCAGCTGCAGGCAAAGACACCCTCCATTACAGACATGTACACACAAAATTAACATAATTTCTCTGAAACAGTCATAGCTACATGAATAGTTTATTTCCATTGTATCACTGTTTTAGCCTCATGCTTTATATTATTTAATTTTTGTATTTTATATACTAAGTAATCTATTCCCAGTGTATCCCTATTTCTGTCCCAACAGACATAACCAAAACTTCCAAACTCCAATCCAACTAAAACAATTATGCTTTCTTTCTCTATCTTCAACAACCGCAGGTTAAAACAAATCAAAAACATAATAGTTTTACAGGTCTCTCATAAACAATTCCCTTTATAAACTCAAAACAAGACTATATATATATATATATATATATATATATATATACACACACACCCTTTAAAAACCTCAGCATGACTCAAATCTTCCTTAGGCTAAACCAGCAACATTAGATTTGTTGTTAAGTTTCAGTAGCAACTGATCTACACTAAAGCATCTTTGATGAGCGCTGAGAAAAGAATGAGAGGCTCACACAGGAGCTCCCACAACCTGCAAACTCACTGTTCTCCCTGACAGACAGGAAGAGTTCCTCACATTTCTCCCCTTCTGCTTGCCTACAAAAGGAACAACCCTCTCGCTCAACTACTTATTTAACCTTAGTGGGCTGGGAGACTACGAAAAGCAGCAGATTGTTGCAGGTCAGGTATATGAGAACCTCAGGAAAGACAACACCTAAACAGGATGTTTAGGGTAAAAACAGAATTTGGACAATTCAAAACAATTATTTCTTGCTGTCCAAGGGTAGAGAACCTGTTGAGGAAGGAAACTAATATGTAGAGGACAGAAGAATTTGAGCTCAACCCAGGCAAACTGCTAAAAACAAAAATCCAAGAGTTCACATTGTAGGCTTAATTTACCTACAGCAACTACACTGCCTGATGTACAGAAAGTATCAATTCCACTGTGTGCAACAGTACCTGTTAAATACATGCCTTGTACAGTTTTATTAAGTAGATCTGTACAGCTTCTGCATGAAACTTTAAGGCAACTTTACATAATAAAGACATGATTTTAATTCCAAATAAAGATCTTGAGCCTATTTAAACTATGTGGGAAGCTCAGTCAATGCACAATTACCCATTTCTCACTGTCTGACACACTTAAAATCACATGTAGAGATTAGAAAAACAGTCAATTACATAAAAGTGGGTTTGTTGTTTTGTTTGTTTGTTTTTTAATCAGGAATTGCTGAAGTATTATGCTTGTACACAATCAGTGACAGCAACTAGAGAACTCCAACTCTGGGCAGCAAAAAAATTATAAAGCAGCATGCTACTAAATATTTGAAAATATGCAACTTCCAAAAATTACAGAAGTTTTTTTACTCATGGTACATTTACACATGTGAAATTTACCTGTAATGCCTGGACTAGAAGGATTAGATAAGGGTTTGGTGCCTTCTGATGACTGTTCTACACTTTTGGAAAGGGATCCATCTACAAGTATATCAGCTTCATCTATGTCATCGCAGGTCCCTCCAATCTGAAGGAAATGAAGTTCTCCACCTAAAATCATCACAGACAACAAAAGAAGAAGGTTTAGACAGGCATACACCTAAACTCAATTCAGAAGTTGAACTGCTATGCAATTATGACAGCAACTATATAGGACCTGAAACCAGCAAGATTATACAGGAATACTCATTTTGCTTTATTACTACAATTTTTTTTCAGGGCAAATGCTAACCAGAACTTCAAAAATACTGCAGTTGTGAATGGCATTAAATGTAAGACATTGGGGGAGGCATTTTAAAAGGTAATTAACACAGGAAACCTCAATAGAGACCAAAATTCATAACCATTATGTCACTTTCCATAATCCAAAATATGTTTATAAAGGGAAAATATTCCATCATTGAAGTAAAGGCCTACACTACCTCATTCATACAGGTTACATAATTTTCTTTTAAAGTTTGATATTTGAAAACTGAAAAATCAACTCATTTCTCTGAATTCTCCTAACTAAGTGGCTCTTCACATTATTTCATCAAACCTAGAATTACCAACACTGATCAGGTCAACAGACAAAAGAGCAAGTCCAAACTTTTCAATGGACACAATGTATTGATGGAATTTTGAAATCATTCAAGAAAGTTGCCCATTATTCACCACTACAGATACACATAGATGAATTCTGTCATTTACAGAGAAGTCATAGGACCATTTAGGCTGGAAAAGACCACTAAGATCATTAAGTGCAACCATTAACCCAGCACTACCAAGTCTACCACTAAACCATGTCCCTAAGTGCCACATCTACAGTCTTTTAAATGTCTCCAGGGACGGTGACTCAACCACTTCCCTGGTCAGCCTGTTTCAATGCTTGATAACCCCTTCTCTGAAGAAATTTTCCTAATATCCTAGCTAAACCTCCCCAGGAGCAACTTGAGGCCATGTGCACTTGTTCTATCATTTGTTAAATGGAAGAAGAGGCCAATCCCCACCTGACTACAACCTCCCCTCATTTCAAGCACTTGTAGAGAATGATAAGGTCCTCTTTGAGCCTCCTCTTCTGCAGGCTAAAGAAATCCCAGCTCCCTAAGCTGACACTGACTTACTCAGTTATCACAAAGCAGACAAGTTGAAAACCAGCACCATAATATTTCCCTCAAAAACCAGGTAACAAAATCAAAACATTGGTAATTTAATTCTGAAGTGTATTTAAAATCTGCAATTTGTGTGGACTCAAGAACTTGGTGGGTAATACAAACAGAACATAAGAATCATAAATCCATTCAAATAAACCACAAGCTTCCTTCTGGCAAAACAGTTACTGGTTCCAGGAAAGCAGCACTGGCACAAGCTAGAGAACATGTCAGAGACTGCAGTCAAAGCCAATCTGGTGAGATGTTCAGTATCCTGAACGTATCCTGCACTCTGGAAGGAGTCTGGAAGAACGACACAATCATCATCAGCAAATCACAGCTGAAGGACATAGTTAAACAATATCCAAACAGTTAAAAGGAATTGGAAAACAAAGCCATATCACAGGAAACTATGCACTAGACAACTTACAGTCCCCTACTTCTCTTGACACTGGGCTGTAGAGAACGGGTTAGCTCTAAATGTGCAAGTTCAGAATGCTTGAAAAATGTCATCAAGAGAGCTATCTCAAAACCTCACTCTAACACAACTTACACTATTCTTGGAGATTTTAGCTATAAAATTTCATCCCAACTTATGGAAAAATAGAATGCAACTGAACAGGGACAAGTGAAAGTTACTATGCTTAGCAAGAAATAATTAAAAGAGCTATTATGGGATGAAGAAAAATCAGCTAGCCAGCAGTTCTGCAAAAGAGGCTCTTGTGAGTCAGAAGATAAACCTCGTTCAATTTCCTGCTCCAAAGTGCAAACATTCCATTATGTACACATGCACATGGTATATACAGACTACAGAGCTGCTTAAGGAATTCTTCTGTTCAAAGACATCTGTAGGATTACTGTGCCTGGTTTTGGCTATCTCATCAAGAAACATGTGGACTGAGTTGTGCAGGTCTTTTGGGAGAGGTAAGTAAGAGTTGGGAATTTTTTCTTTTCTTTTAAAGTCCCTAAAGAAAGTTTAAAAGGATTGGAGATACTAAGCTTGAGCAAATAAATGATTGCAAAAGAACAACATCTAAATAAACTCTGTCTTCCCCTTCTTTTTTGAAGAAATCTCTTTGCCATGTTCCTAATGAATAGTACAACCAGTATGACTCCAATGACCAAAGATGATACAGGCTAAACACTAGGGGAAAAATCGTCATCAAGGACAGCATGCAGCAGAAGAAATTTCACGACTAGGCTGTTAAATCTCCATGTTGAAGATGCTCAAAACCAGGGTGATCACTACTCTTCTGCTGAATGGGTAAGTGTAATTGATCCTGACTTGAAGACGATCTTTCAGCATCACTTCCAACACTAATTTTGATATGTAAAAACTTGACCTCTCCCCAATCCTATTAGACTCCATTGCCTAAGAAGGTAGAAAATTGAAAATACTAAATTGATTCTTGAACTTCAAATACACAGTATACAATGCTGACAAAGCCTAATGACAGGGAAGGCACAAATAAGATATCCAAACTAAATCAGAAAAAAGCTACACAGTGTAATTAGTACACTACTTACAACTCAAGAGCAAGAAATCCGCTATAAATGAAAGGTACAAGATTTGGAAGACTCAATTCTCAAATGTTTCAAAATGCCATTCAGTTCTGCCAGCCTTGCCATAAGAATTATCAGCACAGACAACTCACTTTTGACCTACCAAACTCCAGCCTGCAAAAATACTTTTTCCAACAAAGGGGAGTGATGAGAAAAACTCTTGTTATAATGTAACACCTTTAAAATGTTATAATGTAACACATTTTAAAATGTCAGCTGAGCACAATCCAGCAATGCTTCACTCACTAGAAGTTCAAGCACTCAAAGAGATGGTATAGATTTTAACACCTGCTCAAATCAGACAGTATGTGCAGAAAGTACCTTCTTCACCAGAACACCATGAACATTTCTACTTTTTATAGCATTTGTTTGAAATGCCACCACGGCTTCCTATTCAATATTTCTTCAGAGAGCTTCAGACACTTCACAAGGGAGAACATCAAGAGCAACAAAAGACAGAAAACTGACACATCTTTATGACCTTTTAAAAATACTCCCAGAAACACAAATATGAACAAATTTCAAAACTGCCAAAATAAAACACAAGCAGAGATTTGCATCTTTATATTGAACTAAAATAGGTACAATTTCAGATATGTCCATTTTTTTACCTAATTCTGTATCGCAAAGCAAAGGTCAACAAAACTGTCTGAATGATAAACACAGCTAAGCAGCTAAAGTAAGGAAGCAATCCAAAACAAATTCAACAAAGGAAAAAAGTAGAACATATGCTGTGGAACATCTTCTTAAGTAATTTTTTAGTAGGACTCTAATTAAAAAAAAAAGTTAAGATGAAAACTGAGATATCAGAAAGACAGTGACAACTCTAGTTGTGGAAATTTATGCATCCTCAAGAAACTATATCTGATCCTCTTAAGCACCAGATAATAGGCTTTAAATATCATCAAAAGACCACCCTACAGCAGTATCCCTATTCAAAACCAATACCTACTGCATAGTTAATAAAGAAATTACTTATTTTGTACTTATCATTTTGAATATTACAAAAGCAGAAAATAAGCTGTCTTATATTAATAACACAAAACATTTATACCTCCATACGATAGCACACAAAGTACTACTAAGAGGAATATTAACTATAGTCTACCTTGACCAAGGGGAAGAGAAGAAAGCAAAATACAGAGAATAAAGTCCACCATGTTTGTTTAACAGAACTGGAACCAAGAATATACTTGCACACTTCTTCCCAGAGGTCAACTCCAGGTAATCCTTGCAGAAACAGGTAAGTACCTGAAGCTGACACTGAGAGGTAACATTTTGAAGTGGGACTCACAAGGATGGATGACATCAAACGCAGATCTAAAACACCTCTACATGAAACCACTCCAAATCTAAGCACCCATTCACACAGAGGTTCCTTTTCAGTCATATCTAAAAGACAGCTATGGAAAAATTTTATGATGTAGCCGGAGAAGCAGAAAAAAAGAAAGGTTTTTCTGCATCCAAAACTTTCAGGTATTAAAGTACCTCTTTCCCTGCCCTCACCATCCAAACAAGTAAACAGGAAAGAATATACTGCTCAGATCATATTCCTGAATAGTTTTCCAACAACATCCAAGCATTTCCAACGTGTCTATGTTCCAAAATTTCTACTTAACATTTTCACTTACGTCTTTGCACTACAAGCTTCCTTCTAGAAGGATTGATGTTGAATACATCAATGAATATTGTTATTCTACTTTCAATACATATCTTCCTAATGTTGTCAGACTACAGGCACTATCCTATATGCGGTAATAAACCTAGTGGATTAAAAACCTCAAAGTGATTTTGGAAGAATTTTGGAAGAAGCCTAGGAAAACTGCATTTGAGAAAAAATAACAATAATAAAAAAACCCCATCTTCATCCACCTAGCAGCTAAGCAAGAAATTTTACACACTCACAGCAGAAAGTTTAAAGGATGACTATGATTCAAGACAACAAAAACTATGCAAATCCTGTTCTGTATAAGAAGGTATTCAAATGTACAACAGGATGCAGAATTTAAAAAGTTATATTAATAGTTGAGGTTCTTGATTTGCTTTTTCTTTTAGTGTTCCTGAATTTTATGCCTTACAGTTATTTATAAACATTTCAGATCCAAGTCATTCTTTACAAAGCTTCACATTTTAGCATAAATATTTTGACTCTGAGGCTTCAAACATACCTAGCACCAGATCCTGAAATCCAGACTTCTAATGGACATTGATCACTAAATATTTATGATGGCTTTGGGACTTAATTTCTCGAAAGTGGGAAAAATTACACCGGAAAAAGTGACTGAAATGTTAAATAAGGACTAGAAATTGAAAGCTTCTAAAGACATTTATACAATAAAAATAACAAATTCCAAAGTCCATTTTAAATATGATTGCAGAGCAGAAGATGGAAGTTCCAACCAGAGGTGCAATGGGTGTAAATAAGAGATAAAAATAATCAATGGATTTTTTTTTTTAAGTAATCAAAGTACTATATTCAAAATAGGAAACTTGCGGGCTGAGGGATACTTGTAGCTATACTGGACTACAGAAGAAAAAAAGCCCCAAATCTCAGTCATCTTCAAGGCAGCAAGAACAAAAGAAGTCCCAAGAAAGCTATTTATAAATTGCTAGATGGATATTATAGTACTCAGAGAGATTTACTGAAAAAGCAGAATGATGTGCTTGTCTGTTTTGAGGAAGATGAAGTATCCTCCAGTCAGTAACAGAGATGGTGGTTGTCTAGGCAGAGACAAATACTCCAACGCACACAGAATAAATGCTTCCAACTCAACAGACCTGTTATCTTACACTCCATGTCTCAAAACAGGTTTAGATTATAGCAAATGCTACAAGAATGTAACTACCATACACAATAACACCTGATAGGAAAGTACAATGCACAGTAACAATAAGCCCTTTAACTTTTATCAAGAAAGATAAAACAGATTTTATGCAAGACAGAAATTAATAGTAATACAATGTTGTAGATAAAAAAAAAACACCTTAGCAAGGTTTGAAGTTCTTTGTAATGAGATTGCAGTCTGATCAGCTAAGTATAGGTAAAAACATTATGACATGGATATGATATACTAACAGTTTTCAAAGGCAATTAACCTTTCAGTTCCATTTTAACCAGGAAGAAGCGTGCATTATTAAATACAGCTGAAACGGTTTAACAGACATTTCTTCAAAAGTAGTTATGGAAAGAGAACAATTTAGTAAATATGAATGTTACCATTGGGAATCTGCAAACATAAATACTAGTTGCTAACATACAATGTTTTCATTCATATTTGATAAGCAAATCTAAAATCTCCACTTCTAAAACTCTTGGTAGGTAAGTGATAAACATGGAGCCCTTAACAAAACTGAGATTTTTACACTACGCTTGACTTTATCTGTTGGAAATAACAGGTAAATCTGATTTAACAACTCATAGGAGGACTGTGTCATCAATGTGATTTCCAAAGAAGGAAAGGTATTGATTTAAATTCTTCTAGTAGAGAGAAAGTTCAATGTGATATTGGTGGGAATTAATTTGCAATGTATGAATCAACGTGATATTGGTGGGAATTAATTTGCAATGTATGAATCATCCCATCAGCTGAGCCCCTCTGAGAGCCTAAGCATTTCTACCAGAGCCGCGTTCAATTGCAGGAGAACTAAATAAAACACTGGTGTGTGGAGGAATTCGCGTGACAGGTAGAGCCGTTTCCTCTGGTCCAATGTGACACAAGGGAAGTGGGAGTTGTGTGGTGGTTTAAAGACTTCTATGAAGTAGTTGTTGCCTGAACTTGAACAACTCCTACCTGCACCTCCTTCCCCAAAATATCTTGTGTTCATTTGGAAAAAAAGATTTAATAATCCTGCATGGATAATCTGGCTCTCACACTCAAGAAAGTACAATCTCAACTGCAAAAAGCTGAAGCAGAACCAGCAGCGTGCTACCTGAATGAAGATACAAATAACCACTGGAATAAGTTATAAAAGCACTATCTTCTCTATCTTCTTGAATATCATCAATTACAGACAGGAGACATCTTTCAGAAATGTGATTTCTTTAGCACAGAAATAATTACTCACAAGAACTACTTTTATTTGTTTTGGACTTAAGAAAATCTGTGCTTCTACAAGGCCATTGGACACATTGGACACATGCAAGAATTCTTGCCATTCTAGAGACGAAAATCTACATTTAAGGTAAGGAATTAACTCGAGTCCATGCTTCCTAGACCAGAATTAAACTCTATGTAAATTCAATAAAATTTGCCTATTACTGTTCTGAAATTTTGGTTCTAAATTCTATAATATAATCCAAATACAGTAAAATCAATAATCAAAAAAAGAATTAAAGAATAGTCTTACCTTTGGTGCATGCACATAATCTGTCTGTGCCCGAACAGTATATCACAGAGACAAACATATCTGGTTCCTCAGTGCCCTCTTTTTTAGGTGGCTCCACTTTGGCTAGAATTTCAAAGTTCGAAAGATCTAATATTTTTACATATCCTCCCTGAGTAGTTATTACCAGGTGTCCAAGAGTAGAGATCTCAGATCTTCTTTCTCTCCCACTGCCATTTTTAGAAGTTAATTGTATTTCCTCTACAGGCTCCTCACAGTCGTCCTCTCGATTATCCAATATGTCTGGTGGGAGCAAAATCATTGAGGTAATTGTGTCTTGGGGGTCTTTGATATGCTGGATTTTTACTGGTTCCTCCTCTAGAGTAACTACTCTAGTGGCATAATTCATCTTGTAAAGTACTAGGTATCCACCACTAACACTTCTCTGTTCAGGCTGAATTATTAAAGGAGTTGGTACATCTGCTGGTGACTCATGCTGGATTACATCAATACTCGTGCCATTCACTACAGCGAGACTTGATTCTAGTTCCCCCTTCCTTCTATTACATAGTGCTGAGTTTAATTTATTTAAATTATTCAAGGCCTCTACTTGATTTATTGCACTCAGAGATTCGACAGGACAAGTCCGCAGTCCTACTAACAGATGAACTCCATCTGCACAAGGTGTGATTGAATCTACACACAGGTTCTCCTCCTCTGCAAACTTTGGCAGACGCAGGCACTGAACCAAAGTCCCAGGCTTGGGAACCATGGAGCTCCACTTGTCCGAGTCCGGAGATGTTAGGTTGGCTGCAGCATCTGCAAACTGCTGAATGTAAGTCACAGGGGGATCCTGTAACAGCAATTGTTCCTGACTGTCCAGCTCCATTTCAATGATCTGTGGAACTGTGAAACCATCATCATGTATACTTTTACTCATAATATTGTTCATCTGTGAAAAGAGTTTTCCTGCTTTTTCATCAGACTCCTTAATGCTGTATAGCAATAATACAGGCAAAGTCCTCCTTACCAGAGGGGAATTCAGTTCTGAATTAGTGCAGGATTCATTGTCAGTTGATCCCTGTTCCGAGACACTCTCACCTCGAGTCCTACTTAAACCATCCAGTGATCTCTGAGAGTTACTGCTAACAGGAGAGGTAGCAGGTGATTTGTATGTTAATAGACCTCCAGCTAATAAACAAGGAAAGGGAATGTTGTGTTGCTCTAGATGTTTTTCCTTCATCTTTTCACTCTTACAGTTGGCCAAACAGGGATTTGCTCCAAGTTCTTCTAGATCCTTAACCGTGTCTTCCAGAACATTTGCAACAATTTCCCACTGAAGTTTTTCAGGTTGCTGAAGAACGCTGAGAGCTGTTATATCAAGGCTGACTTCCATAGTTTCTTTTTGTGATGTGTGCCCTTTAAAGCAAAAATGTTGAACATAATACATATGCTTAAAAAAAAAAAAAGGAATAATATTGCACATATTGATGTTTGTTGAAAAAAAAATAAAATCTTTACATCTCATGCTCTTTTTTTTCCCCACTTGCTCATCCTTACTCCAAGACTTAAACTGGATTATGGAAAATAAACATGCAACCCTCCCTCCCATCAAAATTTCTGATTAAACCTCTAAGAAAATGACACAAGAACACCAAGCACAGCACTGTTCTGCTTCCATATGAAATACTTATTCAGGAAGAGAAATACTTTATTGAAGTGCATACCCTCACGGAAACAATCAAGATATAGGAACTCTTTCTGGCAACCCCCTGAACTTAAAGGGTTTTGTACAGCTGTAATTTGTTCCTGTTCCAAGCAAGTTCTTTTATCTCGATTTGTGTGCTTTATTGACAGCAAGATAAGCAATGATTGTTGTCAAATAAGACATTTATTAACCAACAAAGTAGGGTTTTTCTTTCCTTCTCTATGTAATCTCTCCACCACACAAACAGTGACTTAAATACTAGCACTGCTTTCAAGGTAAAGCCTTTTCCTTTTTTCTAATATGGTGAATTCAGTATCATTGGTTTTGACAAATCTTTTTTAAAAGCCTGAGAAGAACAATTTCCCCTTTGACCTCTAAACTATTACATAGATCAGATATAACCTACCTGTCACAGATTCTGATCTGGAATGCTCTTCACTGTCTGAATCCTCCAGTAGGTCATCACTGAAAAAAAAAAAAAAAAATGCATGAATGACACCATGTATACAGTAACTGCATGCTTATCTTTAATTTATTTTTAAAAATTGTAAAAAGACCAATGTTTATTATAACTGGACATTCCTTTTAGTTGGCACTGTAGAACCACTGATCAGTTCATCACAGACACTAAAAACATAAAGTCTTTTTTCCTCCATTATCAAAACAGTAGACCAGCTTTCTGTTTGCCTCATTCTACTACTGTATTTCCTACAGTTCAGACATAAATGCAATTAAAATGAAAGCCAGTGTACTGCTTCTAAAAATACTACCAGATAAATCATTTTTTGATAAAAGCAGATTCTGTTCAAGAAACCTCTTGAAGAGAAATAGGCCATTTAGTAATTCTAAGAATATATTAATAATTTATGCATCTGGCTTTTCTGATATAAGAAATTATTTCCTATTACAGGCTCCTTACACACAGGAAGAACAGTAATGCCTTTGCAGCTTCAGGTATAACTACTCACAGTACCAAGTCAGATCCTCAAATTTCAACAAACTGGATGCTTCCTCCTCACATTCAAGAAACAGATCTTTTTTGGTCCAAACCTGATCAACTTCACAACATGACAGAGAGAATTCAATACTTTGAAGTAAAAGATCTTAGTTCTGAGCAGTATGATTGCACTATCCTTCATTCATCCAACTCTTAAAATTGGTTTAATTCTTTAATTCTTAAGGAGTTCACAGCCCTAAAGCTACAGCAGAACTCCAAGCAGCTGTTAGGTCCCACATGCTGATGTTGCCCATGTTTCTACATAGTCTCTTCAGAAGAGCTTCATATTTGCTCTGCAGTACTGTAGGTATCTCACCAAGCTTAAACTCAAAGATTTACTTTCCTGTGCATGAAGCAGCACTGTTAATTTCTGTAATACTAAAGTTTAAGAAGAAACATTCGGAAAAATAGCAAGACTTCCCCAAATACCTCTCATCCTGAATTTTTCAACAATTATTCACTCTTTTGTTTGAGTTTTGGCAATATGAGAAAGAAGTTCCCAGTAAGAGACTGCAAGAAGCATAAATGAAAGAATACTATTTTTCTCATGTGACTCTTTCGGAGGATTGGCACACTCTAGCTTATCCAAAAGCTTGGAACAGGACTGTCTAATTGTTTATAGAGTATGTACACATGTATTAAAGGTACACAATGAAGTATAAATTCCTAGCACATCCATGTAACTTGTTTTCAGAATGACAAAAGCAGAAATTACGGAGAAGCAATCAGAGAAAAGTGTGTTCCAGAAGTCCATGACTAGCCTTTACTTTCAAAGCCTGAAACGGATAATTCCTAACTAAAATAAAAATCCAAAAACTGATCCAAAACTTATATTCCTTTCTCTTTTCAACCTGCCTCTGAAACACTAGCACAGGGCAGAAATGAGATCTGCAATGTCTCTGCTAGAGGAGTATACAAACTGGAATAGCAGGAAACTGGCTTTAAAAATAGAAATTTAGACTACTGTTTTTCAAATGTTGAATTGCTTACAGATATACAATGACTAAAAATATTATGTCCATGAAAAAAAAGTTTAGCAATCTTTTGTTTCACAAAGCATAACAACTAAATGGCATTTACCACTTACACAGCAGCATTTTCTATTTCTAATTTTGTAGATTGGCATACCTGTCTCCTTCTAATTTTGGTATATCTGAGCAGCTAGATGAATCTTCTAACCATGCTAGTGTTGGTCTCCTTGAGTCAACCCCTGAGCTCTGTTCTCCTGATAACACAAGTTGCTGCACAATAGCTGGATCATATGCATTGATTTCAAATTTTAAGTGGACCTGAGAAATAACAGAAAACAGAAGAGGTATTTGATTTGAATCGAGACATGCTTAATCAGTAAATAATTAATAAAAATTGAATGTTTATATTGCATACCTTCATAAGTTTGGAAACATCCCATATGCAGATCTTTCCTCGTTTTGTTGCAGCAGCTAGAAAATGAGGGCAGCTTCCAGATCCAAAGCAGGCTATTCTGTCAGTGCCATCTGTGCAGGGAAATTGTGCTGGACTTGTTGCCAGTGTGACTGAAAGAGGTACATTCTGAGTATGCTCACCCTTGACAAATGGGCAGTTTGGGGAATGTCTCTCATGTTCAGACCTTTTCACATTAAAAACAAAGAGAGCAAATATTGATTTCTTGCTGTGAAAAATACACACATCATATACAAGCTCAGCCCTAGAAGTAAAGCTGAAAATGAACTGTTTGAACTGTATTGCAGTCAACCACACAAGAGAGTTCTGAAGCTACTAACACAGCTTTCCCTGCTGATTCTCAAGAGCAGACTGTATTAAAGCCTTTGATCACTCAATGCACATTCATATTCAAATGGATGAATCTACACACAGTGCTATTAATATAAATAGTCCATTAAACAAACATAATTGTTCTATAGGCATGTCCTCATGAAGTAAAGCACAGATTAAATTCTACAAAATGTACGTTAGAATTCCAATTTTACGAGCGAGATATCATAAGTAACTTTAGAAGCCATGTTTTACCTTTAGTTCTACATTCACAGTTATACAAATGAAAATTGAAAACAGTCCTGAATGACATATTGACGAAGAAGCATGAAGAAAGCCCTAATTTCAATATACAACTAAAGCAGAGACATGAAAGAACAATTACACAATTACAAAATGCCTGTAAACGTTATGTCACAAGGGAAAGGAGTAGACAAAGACTATGAAGACAATATTATAAAGGAAAGGTTTCCAAAAGGTCAGGAATCTGATGTGTTCAAGTAACAATTATAAATTACTAAATAATCAAGACAAATATTATGTTACGAACTCTTCAATCAATATAAAGTCCTGCATTTCTGTCACTATGCACAATTTTATGATTTGGGAAACTAGTAATGGGTGTTGCAACTTTACATAAAAGGCAAATATGCACTGCAAGGCCATTGGAGTTCATGGACTTGAAAAGAGATGTGATCTAGTCACAATCATACAGAAGATTGAGTTTAGATCCCTGCAAATTGTTTCATGGAACAATTTGAAATCAAAGAGCAAATCAGCATTAAAAAATGAAACCAACTACAATTTTTGGGTTTAGTATTATACAGAAATTTGACCTACTACTGTAAACCATTTTGTGATTTGTTCCATGGAATCATTTTGGAAACCCATTCTTGTCAATGACATGCCCTAAACTCACCAGAAATCCCACCGAGATAATGTTGATTTTTGTCCTTCAAGGATTTCCAACCTCTTCAGCATGAAATTAAGTCTACTTCAAACATCATTAAACTTACCAAGGTTCATCTGTAGGTTCCCAGCACACCAAGCACACACTACAGGTAAAGCACATGGCTCTGTCATCTCCCGATGAAGCAGGCTATGAAAATAAGAAGAAACACTTGAAATTTATACATCTATGTACTACGGAACACTTTAACTAGGTGATCAAGTCTTTTCTTCTAGTGACATAATAAAGCACCACATCAAACATATACAAGGCCAAAATTATGTACTATAAAGTGGCAGTATTTCACATTAAATAAAAAAGGATACACCACATTACTATAGAAGGGATTCAGAGCCAACATCCATGCAACTCATCACATAAAAACCACTGACATAGAACAGAACTGACTTTTTTTAGTTTGGAAAAAATTCACAAGGTTCAAAAAATTTAGAACTGCAGCAGAATAAGTGTACCTCTGCATGCTTGGATAAATACAGGTTAAAAAATATAAAAGTATTCTCTATCACTCCTATGCAAAGAACAGTTGTTACTAGCTGAAATAACTGAGGAAAAACAATGGAAATTTCCAATCTCCTAAAATTCAGCATTCTCATGACCTCGTTTCAAGACATGTTTGGGAATATACAGACGCAATTCCAATATATGAATTTCCTGCATTTCTCCTCCTGTGCAAGTTTAAGAAATCCTCCAAAAACTTTATCCACTTGCACCTATCAGGCTTTGTAGTTGACATGAGGTAGACAATATTGCTGTCAAATGAGAGGCACTGCCCACCTGTCATTATCTAGCCCACCTGTCATTATCTAAATCTATACCATAATTATTTTTTTTACAGTAGAAATAATTTCAAAGAATGAAAAATAGAAATAAGCAAATATAAGCGTTATAAATAAATATAAATATAAATATAAATAAAGCGTTGAGGCTGTATTTATTCACTAAGCCTAACAATTTAATGTGATCGAGGACCTTTGTTTGTTACAATACAGTGTAAGTTCTACTAAGAAAGTATGGTTAGAGAACTCCAATGTCAAGCTTATTGCTTTTTTTGCTTTACTTGTAATATAAAAAGGATGTTTACTCAACAATCTAACAAGGAGAAAGAGATTCGACATAACCAACTTCATCTCTATAATTGTTGTTTAACTCAGATCAATCTGATATTTAGAGATGTTTTATATGCTGAAATTCAGAACAGTGTTTTCTGTGATCTGTACAAAAAAGAGAAGCATTCTCAAGGCATTAAAAAACCCTGAAATTTAAAAAGCGAAAAGCGCTGAATGACAAAGTTTTTATGGTTTATGCATCACTGAAGGAATCCATCAAAAAAAACCCCAAACAACAAAGAACCCACACCTTTTTTCCCCTGCCCCCTCAGACCTTCACCTCAGGAACAAATACTAAGAACAACTGAACCTTTTACCTGGTGATAGAACCCAGCTTGAGCCATAGGATCTGGCTGTGCCCACCGATAACCCACATGAGGCCATGAAGTGAATGTCTCCCGTCTGTTAGCTTCACTATACATCAAAGACCTAGAAAGGTGAAAAATTCTACATTACCCAAAATTGACACTTGAAATTATAAAATTAAACTTTTTTAATTAATGAGATTAGTTTATGAGATACTTTCAATGTTTTAGTAACTGTTAGAAATACCACAGTTAACTACAACTTATACTTCAAAATATAATTAACCATTACTGAAAAGTTACAAACTTCCCTCACTTGGGTGCCCAAAGTACATCCCCAGAAAAAGACTGAAAGCAACACATCAACCTACAAGCTTTAAAAGCAAGATTAATAAAATAAGATTCCAGGTAGCCTATTTGGTCTAACTGCAGAATAGCATTAGATACCCAAAGCCACACTGCATCTAAGGCAGATGGAGAATCTAGCCCAATAGAACTACTAGAGAATTGGGCTTTTTTTAACATGACAACTACTGCAAAAATTTGGGTTTATTAGTTGAACAGATACGAATATGCATATTTAAAAACACTCTAAAGTGATATTTTAGGCTTAATTGAATACACGGTACAAACCTCCCCAACATTCCTAACTCACAACACACTATAATACTTAAAAATTGCAAACTAAGTCACAAAACATGAACTCCTCTGCAACTCAACAGCTACAGAGCAAAGAAGTTCCTCTCTTTTCCACCTTCACTCAGTGTATGTCCCTCATCTGCAACAGTACAATAGAAATGAGTATCAGTTTTTCTTTCCCCTTCACAGAATTTTGTTCTCCAGTATCATTCCAAACACTAGTGCTATTAGACGGATAGGTGCCTCACTTCATGTTTCTGCCCCTCGGTTTAAGAAGGTTTTTGCTGTTTTATAAGAGAATGGGTATATTCCTGCCAAGGAAGTAATCTATTCTAGCAACGCCCACATAAAGGCTGTCTTAACTTGACATTATACCACCTTAAGAGACAGATCTTGGAGAGCTCTAATCAAAATACAATATGGCAAGGTACAGGTAGACCTGGAGGCTTGGGAAGGGGAAGTAAGAGATGAAATCAATTTCAGTAAATTGTTTGAGTTGTAAGAAATGATAATGTGCTTGCAAAATAATATTTGCATAGAAACTTTCAAGAAGGAATTAATTTATAGATTTAGAAGATTTATCACTATTCTAATTAGTCTTAGCTTATGAAGGTTAAAATAATGGGTTCCTTGCTTGTTTATACATTATAACTTGGATCAGAAAGAGGTGAAGCAACAATTTCAGGTAAAATTTTCTCTGACTCCAAACACTTAGCAGGTGACTAACAGGTTCCGAAGTAGCATATATATGCTCTGCAAAGCTGTATTTAAGGCTGCAATTGTTAGTATATGTTGGATTTAAGAGCAAAGTGAATTCAATTTGCCTGGCAATAAAGTTGAAACCGAAATAGTCTTGTGGCATCCATAAAGGCTTCGCTAAGTTTAGTAATATGTATTGTACATTGTGCATTAAACAGTTAATTACCTGTATGCATAAGAGCAACAAAATACAGAACAGGACTAATTCCTTTGGCAAATAAAGTCATCTAAGAGCTTATTCTGATACAAATAAGGGGTCAAATTAATCCCTTATTTTGTCTTAATATACCTGTCCACAGATCGACCAGGTCCCACACCAAGTTCTGGTCGTGCGCTGGGTAAGAGGTAAGATAACCTATCCATCACAGAGGATGCTACAGGTAAGGCAGCAATATTTTGATTTATCTTCTTGAGTTCATTTACAATGGCACTGGCGACAGACTTCAAAACATGATGAGGAAGGTGGAACGTAACCGTTGCCCACTAAATTAAGAAAAGAAGTGTTTGAGTTTTAAAATTGTAACATCTAAACAACAAACAGATCACAAAAGTGTCAAAACCAAAAACAAACACACGTCTTCCATGCTCCCATGATATCAAGAAGTAATACAGCAACAGATAGACAAAACCAACACATACATAATGCAAGGAAAGTCAGTAATTTCAGATTTTAAGCTCAGTTGGGTTTATTAGTTGACTTTATCTGCAAGAAACTAACCTTGTTTAGGCTAGTTCCTAACTAACAAGTGAAGCTTCATACAGATGAAGTAAGAAACATAATATATTCTACTGTCTTCAAACAAAATCCACCACACTAAGTCAAACATTTTGTATGTTTCAATAATGGTAGACACACAGATTAGACTCGGGAATCCATTCAGACAGTACAGAGGCAATTTCTTACCTTTGCAACTTTATGATTTGCTGCTGTTTCATGTGAGGTATTTTTTAAACCATCCTTCAGTTGTGTGATGAACAAGTCATATCCCTCTGTGCTAGAAACATCTACTTTTTCTATGCAAGCAGATAACAGCTGCTGAGCCTAAAATGCAGATGTGTGAGAAAACTTAGCATCCACATTGAACAACTACAGACAGGAATTACAACTGTGTCATTACTTCAGGAAATGACCTACTTTATCATATATTATATCAGCATAATTCCCATAAAAGACCCAGAGTTGAGTAGCTGTTCCAAATTTTATTTTGTAGGCCAATCAATAGATAAACTTCAGCAATAATGACAGTAATTACTACAGGTTCCCTCAAGGGCAATATTACCAAATGTTAAACAAGTCAATCATATAAACAACTATAACTGAAGACATGTATTGCCCAATGCTTTCTCTTCAAAAGGATTCATTCAGCTTTACAGAAAAAAAGTGAGAGCATTTTTCTGTGACAAAAAGTGACATTTTCCTGAGTAGCTTTGTATCTTCAAAAAGCTAGATGACAGTGGAACAACACTGCAATAAAATTAGAGGTAAATTACTTACAATGCTAATACAAGGAAGCTGAAAAGTGAGGCAGAAAAAACCCAGGCTAGTTTAGAAACTAGAAACTCTTAAAACTCAGAAATAACGCAGCTAAAAAAGAATGCTATAAACATCCATTTATAGACTTTTTCTTCCAAGTCTCATTCGTTTCCAGCTTATCCCTCTGTCTACTAACTTCACGTTGACAGGTAAGATTTAAAGTTATGCTTTATGTGCAAAGCACAGAGTATTCTATATCTGCTGTTAGGTGGGTTAACTACTGAAAAATATTACAGGAATTTTTTTCAAGTTACAAACACAGGGAAATATTTCCCTGAGGACAACAGCCAGTCAGTCACAAACTGTTCCAAACAGAATGGACCAAATGGTCCCTTGGTTATATCCTTGGGAAGTTCAGGGAAAGAAAGACAGAAATAAGGCAAACCAGTCCCGTAGCTAGGGCTGTATCTGTTTCTCGGATTTCAATAAAAAGACAATTACAATTCTTGTGGCATCTCATACTCTCCAAATTTCTTGCGGATGACAGAAGAATAAGAGATAGATTGTGGAAGTTCCTAAATTTACCGTGTTCTACAGGGACTTGAAAACAGCATAGAGGTTGCTTCATAACTTCTCAGTGCTGCCAATTAAAAATGCATAAAGAATGCATTGCATTACCAGCAGATCAAATATATTAAAAGATTACTTAAATTAACAAATTCACAGAAAAGTTCTAGAAACAAACAAAAAAAACCCACTCTTGCTTGGATAAAAGTTCCTGACCTTTTTAGGGTGAAAGAGACAGGCTGATGCATTTGTATGATATTTGCTTAATATTTACTAAATTTTTCCTAGCCTATGTACCCCTGTGTGGTTGCGAGCTATGCTGGCGAGGGTTCATGCCTTCGGTAGGGTCGCCCATGCCAGACAGGTCAAAACCATAGGACCAGATAAACTACATCCCTGGGCAGGATGAGCTCATTAGCCTTCTGGCAGTCATCCTAGGAGAAGGACAACTCTCATCCCAAACCCGGGCAGATGGAGCTCGCTTAGCCCTGGAAGGCCATCCATCTCAGAGAAGGTCACTCTAATCAAACCTACGTCCTGAGGACCTCGCTGCCACCGTCCAAGCTTGCTCGGCCCTGGCAGATGAACCTCAGGATTAAAGGGTGGGTTCAGTTCCGCGCATACTGCATCTCACCTAAAAAATCCATTGCGCAGGCTTGAAGGCTTTACCCACATGCAAAAAGTCCTGTAGCGACGGGCGAGGGTCGAAACGGTAGGTGAAAGATGCACTGGGAGCCGCAGACTCAACCCTGCATACAGGCGGTTCAGGATATTGGTCATTTGAGACTGACGGAGATGAGAGTCTCTTGGGGCAGCACCCTGAACGACCAAGCAGCCTTTTCAAGGACAGCACTGCTTGCTCCACTCGGAGAGGGGCCTAGAAAAGGTGGCCTAAACAAAGCTCATCTCCACCTTCACCCGGTTGGTTAACCGCAGACCGACGGGCATCTTCTTCCAATGCGGTCGCACAAAGAGCAAAAGTCAAAGGCATGCACCTGCCTCCAAAGGTGTACTCAAATTAAATCTAGCATGTTGGAACATCAGAACCATGCTCGATTCTGCCAATAGTGGTCGTCCTGAGCGACGTTCTGCCCTAATTGCCCATGAACTGGGTCGTCTCAACATCGACATTGCTGCTCTCAGTGAAGTTCGCCTTCACGAGGAAGGCAGCCTCAGAGAACATGGTGCCGGTTACACACTCTTCTGGTCAGGTAAGCCCAGAACCGAAAAACATCTCTCAGGTGTCGGCTTCATGATCAAAAACTCCATTGTCCCTAAACTCGAAAATCTGCCGACAGGTCACTCTGACCGCATTATCTCCCTACGCCTTCCACTAAACAACAAGCAACACGTTGTCATCTTCAGTATATATGCCCCAACTCTCCAAGCTGACCCTGCTGAAAAAGATAAATTTTACACTGACCTGCGCTGTCTTACCCAAAAGGTGCCCGCAGATGATAAGATCATTATCCTTGGTGATTTCAACGCCAGAGTAGGTAAGAATTTTGAAGCCTGGAAAGGAGTATTAGGCAAGCATGGTGTTGGAAACTGCAACGATAATGGTCGACTTCTGCTAGAATTCTGTGCGGAGCAACAGTTCACCATCACCAATACTATCTTTCAGCAGAAAAATAGTCTGAAGACAACCTGGATGCACCCCAGGTCTAAGCATTGGCACCTCATTGATTATGTCTTGGTGCGACAGAGAGATGTCCGCGATGTCCTCCATACCCGCGTGATGCCCAGCGCAGAATGTCAAACAGACCATCGGCTTGTGCGCTGTAAACTCAACCTTTATCTCAAATTCAAACCCAAGAGGGGCAGTATCCCAAGGAGAAGACTCCAAGTTAACGATCTCCAATCAGCCACAGTAAGAGAAAGATTCCAGGCAAACCTTCAAACTAAGCTTGATAACCATTCCACAGATTCTGCAGTTTCCTCTCCCGAAACAATTTGGCAGCATATTAAAAGTAGCATCCTGCAATCCTCTGAAGAATCCTTAGGGTTCTCCCTCAAGAAGAACAAGGACTGGTTTGATGAAAATAATCAAGAAATCCAGGAATTGTTGAGGAAGAAGAGAACCGCCCACCAAGCACATCTTGCACTGCCTTCCTGTCACGCTAGAAAAACAGCCTTTCGTCTTGCTTGCAGCAAGCTCCAACAGAAACTCCGTGACATCCAGAACAAATGGTGGACCGATCTAGCTGCAAAAACTCAACTATGTGCAGATACAGGGATCACAAAGGATTCTATGAGGCCCTGAAAACAGCATACGGGCCTACATACCAAGTCCAAAGCCCTCTACTCAGTGCAGATGGTCAAACGCTTCTGACAGATCAAACCTCCATTCTGAATAGATGGTCTGAACACTTTCAGACTCTTTTCAGTACCAACCGTGTAGTACAAGACTCAGCAATTCAGTCCATCACACAACAACCAGTGAAATACGAATTGGATACTGCCCCCACTCTAGGAGAAACCCTCAAGGCCATACAGCAGGTGAAAATCGGCAAGGCAGCTGGGGTTGATGGAATTCCACCTGAAGTCTGGAAACATGGGGGCCTTGCACTCCATGCTAAATTTCATGAGCTTGTGGTGCGCTGTTGGGAACTAGGCGAACTACCTTCAGACCTTCGTGATGCAGTCATCATCACCTTGTATAAGAAGAAAGGTACTAAATCAGACTGCTCAAATTACCGTGGTATTACTCTGCTCTCCATTGCTGGCAAAATCTTGGCAAGAATACTCCTGAACAGACTAATACCCGCTATAGCAGAAGAAATTCTACCTGAAAGTCAGTGTGGCTTCAGAGCCAACAGGAGCACCACAGACATGATATTTGTTCTCAGACAACTGCAAGAGAAGTGTAGGGAACAGAACAAAGGTCTCTATGTAACCTTTGTCGACCTCACCAAGGCTTTCGATACTGTGAGCAGAAAAGGTCTTTGGCAGATTTTGGAACGTTTAGGTTGTCCCCCCAAGTTCCTTAAAATGATCATCTCACTTCATGAGGATCAGCACGGCCAAGTCAGATATGGCAACACACTTTCTGAGCCCTTTCTAATAAAGAATGGTGTGAAACAAGGCTGCGTTCTCGCTCCTACCCTATTCACAGTCTTTTTCAGTATGATGCTTCAAAGGGCCTCGGCAGACCTCGATGATCAGGACGGTATCTACATTCGATATCGTACTGATGGAAGCCTATTCAACCTAAGGCGACTGAAGGCCCACACTAAGACCCTGAACCATCTTGTCCGGGAGCTGCTTTATGCTGATGACGCCGCCCTTGTCGCTCACACAGAAGCAGCCCTGCAGCGTTTAACATCCTGCTTTGCAGATGCTGCTGAGCTCTTTGGGCTGGAAGTCAGCTTAAAGAAGACAGAAGTTCTCCATCAGCCTGCACCTCAGGAAGTCTTCCATCATCCCCACATCACCAT